GGGGCTTTCGGGCGGGCTCCCCGGGGTGTGGCCACATCCCCTGGCCTTCATCCCGCTTCATCCTCCACTCCCTCCTCCTCCCGCACTTGCTCCCACAGGGCCCAAGGCCACTCACCGCATGGCCTCCGCTCTGGACAGTAGCTGAGGCCCCTCGCACTGGTCTCCCGCCCTCCCCAGCAGGCAGCTATGGCGATCCCCCGACGCCCCTGCCTAGACCCCTCCCAGGCTCCTGGTGCTGCTGAGGGGCCCAGCCCGGCCCAGCAGGCTCCCCTGGGAGCCACAGCACCCCCTCCTCCTGCTCCTCCAGGTCCCTGCGGACGGCGCCTCGTCACCTGGGCCCCCGAGTCCAGCCCCCTGCTGCCCTCGGTGTTCGCGTCCCAGCGTACCCCGAGCCCTAGTTCCCAGCTGCGTGCGCACAGCAGACCCCCAGAAGCACGTCTCCAGTCTCACTCCAGACCCCTCTCCTGCCCCCAGGGCCTCAGTAGCCTGCGGGGACCTGGTCCGGACTCACCACCAGAGGCCAGGGTGTTCCAGCCAGCGTGGAATGCCCCTGAGCAGTCTCACTGATGTGTTTTTCCTTTTTTAAATAAATTATTGTAGCTGCGCGGGCTCTTAGTGTGGCATGCAGGCTCCCTAGTCATGCACGTGGGGTCTTAGTTCCCTGACCAGGGATCGAACCCACATCCGCTGAGCTGGAAGGCGGACCCTTAACCACTAGACCACCAGGGAAGCCCCTGATGTATTTTTCCTTTTTTAAGAAAACGGAACTGAAAGTCACACCACATTAACCGTCTCTCCTCTGCACTTCACTGGCATTTAGCACATCGGCAATGTTGTCTCCCTAGTTCCAGAACATTCTGTCACCCAGAAAGGACACTGTCCCTGTTCTCTGCTCCCCCAGCCCCGGCAACCCCAATCTATTTTCTGTCTTTATGCGTTTACCTATTCTGGACATTTCATATCACACGGGACCTTCTGTCTGCCTTTTCACTCAGCAGAACGTCTTCAAGGCTGTTCCGTGTGATAGCATGTGTCAGAATTTCATTCCTTTTTTAAAATTTTTATTGGCGTATAGCTGATTTACAATGTTGCGCTAATTTCAGGTGTACGGAAAAGTGACTCAGTTCTATGTATACATTTATTCACTTTTTTAGATTCTTTTCCCATAGAGGCCGTGGTAGAGTATTGAGTAGAGTTCTCCGTCCTATATATTAGGTTCTTACCAGTTATCTATTTCACATATAACAGCGTGTGTGTCAGTCCCAGTCTCCCAAGTTATCCCTCCCCCCTTCCTCTCCTGATAACCATGTCTGTTTTCTACATTTGTAGATAACTGTATTTGTACCAAATTTCAGAGTCCACATATAAGTGATATCATATGGTATTTGTCTTTCTCTGTCTGGCTTACTTCACTTAGTATGATGATCATTAGGCCTACATTGCTGCAATTGACAATATTTTGTTCTTTTTATGGCTGAGTAATAGTCCATCAAGAAACACCTGGAGTAACAGGCAAATTTGGCCTTGGAGTACAGAATGAAGCAGGGCAAAGGCTAATAGAGTTTTACCAAGAGAACACACCGCTCATAGCAAACACCCTCTTCCAACAACACAAGAGAAGACTCTATACATGGACATCGCCAGATGGTCAATACCAAAATCAGATAGATTATATTCTTCACAGCCAAAGATGTAGAAGCTCTATACAGTCAGCAAAAACAAGACCAGGAACTAACTGTGGCTCAGACCATGAACTCCTTATCACCAAATTCAGACTTAAATTGAAGAAAGTAGGGAAAACCACTAGACCATCAGGTATGACCTAAATCAAATCCCTTACGATTATATAGTGGAAGTGACAAATAGATTCAAGGGATTAAATCTGACAGAGTGCCTGAAGAACTATGGACGGAGGTTCGTGACATTGTACAGGAGGCAGCGATCAAGACCATCCCCAAGGAAAAGAAATGCAAAAAGGCAAAATGGTTGTCTGGGGAGGCCTTACAAATAGCTATGAATAGAAGAGAAGCAAAAGGCAAAGGAGAAAAGGAAAGATATACCCATTTGAATGCAGAGTTCCAAAGAATAGCAAGGAGAGATAAGAAAGCCTTCCTCAGTGATCAATGTAAAGAAATAGAGGAAAACAATAGAATGGGAAAGACTAGAGATCTCTTTCAGAAAATTAGAGATACCAAGGGAACATTTCATGCAAAGATGGGCTCAATAAAGAACAGAAATGGTAGGGACCTAACAGAAGCAGAAGATACTAAGAAGAGGTGGTAAGATTACATAGAAGAACTATAGATAAAAGATCTTCATGACCCAGATAATCACGATGGTATGATCACCAACCTAGAGCCAGACATCCTGAAATGTGAAGCCAAGTGGCCTTAGGAAGCATCACTACAAACAAAGCTAGTGGAGGTGATGGAATTCCAGTTGAGCTATTTCATATCCTAAAAGATGATTCTGTGAAAGTGCTGCACTCAATATGCCAGCAAATTTGGAAAACTCAGCAGTGGCCACAGGAGTGGTAAAGGTCAGTTTTCATTCCAATCCCAATGAAAGGCAATGCCAAAGAATGCTCAAACTACCGCACAATTGCACTCATCTCACACACTAGCAAAGTAATGCTCAAAATTCTCCAACCCAGGCTTCAACAGTACATGGACCATGAACTTCCATATGTTCAAGCTGGATTTAGAAAAGACAGAGGAACCAGAGATCAAATTGCCGACATCTGTTGGATCATCGAAAAAGCAAGAGAGTTCCAGAAGAATATCTACTTCTGCTTTATTGACTGTGCAAAGCCTTTGTGTGGACCACAACAAACTCTGGAAAATTCTTAAAGAGATGGGACTACCAGACCACCTGACCCGCCTCTTGAGAAATCTGTATGCAGATCAGAAAGCAATAGTTACAACTGGACATGGAACAACAGACTGGTTCCAAATTGGGAAAGGAGCCCGTCAAGGATGTATATTGTCATCCTGCTTATTTAACTTACATGCAGAGTACATCATGAGAAGCGTTGGGCTGGATAAAGCACAAACTGAAATCAAGATTGCTGGAAGAAATATCAATAACATCAGATATGCAGATGATACCACCCTTATGGCAGAAAGTGAAGAAGAATTAAAGAGCCTCTTGATGAAAGTAAAAGAGAATGAAAAAATTGGCTGAAAGCTCAACATTCAGAAAACTAAGATCATCCCCACCAGGGATTCCCTGGTGGCTCAGATAGTAAAGCATCTGCCTGAAATGTGGGAGACCCGGGTTCAATCCCTGGGTTGGGAAGATACCCTGGAGAAGGAAATGGCAACCCACTCCAGTACTCTTGCCTAGAAAATTCCATGGATGGAGGAGCCTGGTGGGCTACAGTCCATGGGGCTGCAAAGAGTCGGACACGACTGAGCAACTTCACTTTCAAGATCATGTCATCTGGTCCCATCACTTCATGGCAAATAGATGGGGAAACAGTGAGAGACTTTATTTTTTGGGGCTCCAAAATCACTGCTGATGGTGATTGCAGCCATGAAATTAAGATACTTGCTTTTTGGAAAAAAAAGTTATGACCAACTAGACAGTATAATAAAAAGCAGAGACATTACTTTGCCAACAAACGTGTCTTGTCAAAGCTATGGTTTTTTTCCAGTAGTCACGTATGGGTGTAAGAGTTGGACTATAAAGCAAGCTGAGCGCCAAAGAACTGATGCTTTCAACTGCAGTGTTGGAGAAGACTCTTGAGAGTCCGTTAGACTGCAAGGAGATCCAACCAGTCCATCCTAAAGAAAATCAGTCCTGAATATTCATTGGAAGGACGGACGCTGAAGCTGAAATTTCAATACTCTGGCCACCTGATGCGAAGAACTGACTCATTTGAAGAGACCCTGATGCTGGGAAGGATTGAAGGCGCGAGGAGAAGGGGACGACAGAGGTGAGATGGTTGGATGGCATCACTGATTCAACGGACATGAGTTTGAGCACGCTCTGGGAGGTGATGAAGGACAGGGAGGCCGGGCGTGCTGCAGTCCATGGGGTCACAAAGAGTCGGACACGACTGAACTACTAACACTGGGCAGGCAGTGGCTGCATCTGAAGCGGGTCTTGGAGGTCCACACCCAAGGAAGGAGGGGCCTTCCACTGCGGGGAGGGGCACGGGCGGGGGGAGGGTAGCAACCCCAAACAGGAGTGGCAGCTCCTCCCTCAGGGGCAGGTTCAGGCTCCTCTCGCCCTGCCCTCTTTCCAGAGCCTTCTCTCCCTCCACCCAGGGGCCTCCAGAGGTGTCTACACTCTTGCCACCACCGCCCACAGGATGACCCTTCGCGCGGCCCCCAACGCTCCTCTCTGGGGGGCGCGGCGGCGGCGCCGGCTTCTCTCCCCGCCCTCGGGTTTGGTCAACCCCAGAGGGGGAGACATCCGCTCGGCTCGGGCCCCCTCCCCCAAGCTGCGCTGCGTCGCTCTCTAGCGACCAAGATGCCCAAGTCCCTCGAGCAGCGGGCAGCGGCGATCGCCTCTCAAACCTCCAGCCGCGCCCGCCCCGCCGGCCGCTTGCTCGGCCGACTGCACCTTGCGGCGGGCGCGCCTCCTGCCTCGCTCCCAGCCTGCGGGCTCCGGGAGCGCCCCGCGTCCGCCGCCCCACCAGCACGAACCCGAGCAGGGGCCCCCCGGGGCCCGCCCCGCGCTCGGCACCGCCCCGCGCTCGGCACCGCCCCGCGCCGCGCGCACTGGGCATGCGCAGAGCCAGGGGACGCGCCAGCGCGCCGCCATGGAGCGCATCGAGGGGGCGGCCGTGAGCCGCTGCGCAGCCTCGCCGTACCTGCTGCCGCTCACGCTGCACTACCGCCAGGTGAGCGCATCTTCCGCGCCTTCCGTTCCCCGCGCGGCCCGACACCGCCCCGGGACCCCTCCCGCCTTCGGCCCGGAGCCCCGCCCACCCTCGAGTCCGGAGCCCCGCCCCCTCCCCAGGAGCCCAGCCCTGAGTCTCTTGGTCCCGCCCCGCAGGCCTCACCTCCCGGCGGAGCTTTGCCGGAGTCCAGGTTCACACGCCGGTTGAACGTCGGGGTCGGGGAGGGTCTGGGCAGGGACACCTCGAGGGACCACTCATTCCTCCAAAAAGACTTTGCTGAGCCCCGGCTCTTTTTGTGCTGGGACATTTTGGGCGCCCCAAGGGTCGGGGCAAGCTTCCTGGAGGTGGTGTTCTCCATTCTGGGTAGAAGGAGGCGAATTGATTGAGGACGGGGGTGTGCACTGGAGAGCTTCTCCAGGTGGGCTCCCCAGGCTGCCTCCTCCGTGTCTCCATCTGCCGTCCTTGCAGGCTCTCCCCCAGGGCATCACCTCCTCCTGCCGTTCCCCAGGAGGCAGTGCGGTACCGCTGCTGCTTCCCTTGGCGCCGTGCATGGAGTAGGTTCACAGGAAACACATGTTTGTCCAGTTTGGGCCCCCACCCTTTGCGTGCAGCTCCCCTGGAGTCCACTGTGCCATCCAGGTGAGGACCGCACCCCAGAGCGAGGTCTGTGAGCCCCTCGCTGCCCCTCAGCCAGGACAGGTGGGTGCAGGTCTTTGGTGACCCTCTCTGCCTGACTGCCCTTGGCCTGCAGCAGCCTGTTCCCCCCGGCCCAGGCCCCTTCCTCTCTCCAAACTATGACGCCCTCTTGACCCCCAGCCTGACAGAGGCTGCACCCCCCTCCACCCTCGTTGCTGTTGTCCCCTTGGCCGTAGGGGACAGGGAGTCCTGTCCCCAGGCTGGACCCAGGCTGGCAGCACTGGCCTGGGGCAGAAGCCGGGGCGGGGTGAGGGCAGAGTACAGGGACGTGGAGGTTGCTGCCCTGTCCCTGCTGCTGGCCTGGGGCCAGGATGCCTGATTGTGGCCACACAGCTCCCAGGGGCCAGGGCTCTGGGGGCAGCAGGTGGGCACAGGGTGGTCCATGCACCTGACTGCTGTGGCCTCGGCTGTGGCACCCTCCTCCACTTCCTGTGAAAGGTGGATGGGTGCTGGTAACCAAAGCTGAGCCCGTGTGGGTGGCGGGCTGCAGTGGGCACAGGCAGGGGGCCATGGGACACGGCTGGGCGGTGAATGTCAGCAAGGGGCTTCTGCAACTTTGCTCAGTAGCCACTATGCCAGGGGAGATCTGATGGATGGATAGATTGATCATCCAGAGGCAGGCACCCCCATGGCTCTGAAGGGGAGGGGGCTGTGTTTACACTCCAGTCCTGTTCTCCCTCCCAGTGCCATGAAGATGAGCCAGGCCTGGGTCCGGACCACCTGGGTGGGGGTCCTGCAGGAGGGGCTGCCTGGCCCTCAGTGGACCTCTCTGGACCCTCCCCTCCACCTTGCCTGGACCTCAGGTTTGACTGATGTTGTGATCTTGGTCCCAGAGGGTACCTGAAACCAATGCAGCGTGACTCATACCCTGAGGGAGGCAGGGGACAGCCCAGCACTTAGCAGACTTGGGGACAGGCCTTCCCTGGAAGCCCCCCTGGTGGGTGGCTGGCCCTGGGGTGGCCAGGCTGCAGGCAGGCCCAGGCCTGCCTCGGGGGTGGTGCCTCACAACGGCCTCCCGGGCAGCCCGTCCGGCACAGCACAGGACGTCGGCTCTCCTTCCCCCCGGAAACCAAAGCTGCTGCCCCGCCAGGACGCTCCTGCCTCCAGGCCAAGCTCAGCCCAGTTTCTGCAGCTCCCCTGAGACCAGCGTGTGGGCCCCTGCCTGTCAGGTCCCCCTGCCAGGAAGGCCCTTTTTGCTCTGAGTCCTGGTGCAGTGTCACCTCCTCCAGGAAGTCCTCACAGAGGCTGCTGCTCACTGTCTTCTTTTCTGCAGCCCTGACTGCACTTTCTGTCTCTGGTGCTCAGGTTCATGTCCACTTGGTGGCTTGGACAGGGCCCTGTGTGTCGGGCCAGTAGCTCACCAGGGCAGAGGGCTAGACCAGAGGCTGAAGGGCACTGAGCTAAGCAAGCTGGTGATGCGCATCCACAGGGCTGGGCTCTCGGGCTCCAGGGCCAGCCGCATCCTCAGAGACCTCTTTGAGGAGGGCTCAGGGCCAGGGGGAACGGCCCAGCTGGCAGGGTCCTAGCCCCTCACGCCTCCTGCCGGCTGGAACCACGTTAGCTTTGGTTCTGGCTGCCCCCGGCGGCCTGGGCCCCTGCTCCGCGCTGCCTTCTGTTCACCGGATGCCGCCCGGAACCCTGGGAGCCACTGGGGCAGGATGCCCAGGGCAGAGGAGCAGGGTGGTGGAAGGAAGGGACAGAGCAGCAGGACCATGGGCCGCGGGAGAGACAGCCCAGGGCTGGAACCGGGCTGGGGAGAGGGTGGTCCCCTGTCCAGTCACACCCCTGACGGCCCATCCATGGGGTGAGCTCCTGCCGGGCGCTGGCACACCCCCCAACTATTCTCGTGGCCCTTTGTCCAGGCGCCCAAGGAAGTTTCAGCCGTGAAGACCTGATCTCTGCTCTACTCACTTGGGACACCCCCTGCCTGGGGCCCTCCACACCTCGAGGTCCTTCCCAGCCTGGGTGACAGCGAGCGTCTCCGCAGCTCCCCAGCGCTTGCTCCAGTTTTCTTGTCACTCCTGGGGAGCACCCGGCTGCCCTGGACCCCCCCTGCCCACCCGCTGTACCTCTTGGGTCCCAGGGGCCCTGGGCCACGGCTGGTTTTCCTGGGAGGAGACACTGCAGTGGGTCCCCGGGGCCTCCTCGCTCTCTGGAGCACTCCCCAACTGCTGCCCTGTCTCTTCTAGAATGGCGCCCAGAAGTCGTGGGACTTCATGAAGACTCACGATAGGTGAGGGCCTGGCCTGGCTGGCACCAGGGAAGCCCCAGGCTGGCAGGGACACGGGGCCCAAGGGCATGGAGCTGCAGCCCCCTCTGCGTTTCTGAGCACCCCTGCTCTCCCTGCCTCTCACCGAGGGGCCCTGTGCGGGCCGCCCAGGCGCCCTTAGCCTGGAGCGCCAGGAGCATGGGCTGGGGGCAGTGTGGCTTCAGGTGTGTGGCTGCGGCAGCTGGCCTGCAGGGCCCACGTGTCCCGTCATTCCCGTGCCCTCAGCTGCTGCCACCCCCAGCCTGTCCAGCTGCCCAGCGTGTCCTTCCCACTCCTGCCACCCGGCACACACAGGAGACCTGGGTCCTCACCTGGCAGTGTGACCCTGGCGAGCTCTGACCTGGCCTGGGCCTCAGTCTGCCCATCTGAGCAAGGGACCCAACCCTCCAGGGCTGTGGAGGAGGGTGGCGAGGTGAGGGCGTGCTTCTATTGCTGAGCTCCGTCCCCCCCCCCCCCCCGCCCCCGTCCCCAGCGTGACCATCCTCATGTTCAACTCTTCCCGGAGGAGCCTGGTGTTGGTGAAGCAGTTCCGGCCAGGTGAGGTTGGGGGCGGGGAGGCCGGCGGGCTCACATTCAGCCCCCTGGGGTCCTGGGGTCAGCGTGCAGACCTGGGAGGGGGCTCTGGGAGAAACAGCCCTGGCTGGGGGGTCTGGCCAGAGCTGGACACGTGGAGCTGGCCACCACAGGCCGTGACGCAGTCGCCTCCCCCCGCCAGCCGTGTACGCTGGCGAGGTGGAGCGTCTCTTCCCGGGGTCCCTGGCAGCTGCGGAGCAGGACGGGCCCCGGGCGCTGCCCGCGTTGCTGCCTGGCTCAGCAGGGGTCACCTACGAGCTATGCGCCGGCCTCCTGGACCAGCCCGGGCTCTCGCCGGAGGAGGTGGCCTGCAAGGAGGCCTGGGAGGAGTGCGGCTACCGCCTGGCGCCCTCTGACCTGCGCCGGGTGGCCTCGTACAAGTGAGTGGGGCTGGGAGGGCGGCCCGCGGTCAGACAGGCTGCCGGGGGGCAGTGAGCGCTTCGGCCCCAGGGCTGTGCAAGCAGGGCGACTCTGCCTTGTTCTGCAGCTCGGGGTTGGGAGAAGGTTGGCCGGAACCTGAGGCCCCCGGCCCCACTGTGGCCCCCCAGGCCCCGCCCAGGCCCCCTACCCCCCCCCCGCCCCCGTGTGGCCGGCTTCGGTGGCAGCTGCTGCTCACAGATGCCCCTGCTTCCTGTGGGATTAGGCATGGGGGCTGGGGGTGGGGGCGAGTCACAGAGGGCTCTGACAGCGGCTCAGGAGGGAGGGCAGGGCCAGGGTTGGAGCTCTGCGCCCCGGGGAGGGGTCGCAGTGCGGCCTGCCCCTCCCAGAGCCCGGGGACATCTTCCGGGACGGGATGTGGGGTGAAGCCCACCCCTTGCCCGAGGGGTGTGGCGAAGGGCCCCCAGCCCTGGTGAAGTCCCCAGCAGAAGGAGGGCCTCCAGCTGGGCCCCAACCCCCAGCAGCCTGCTCCCGAGGGGTGGGGCCTCAGCTCTGCCCCCCAGGCCAGCCCAGGGCCGCCTCAGCGACATCCTGGCCCGGCCAGGCGTCCATGGCCTCCAGTCTTGGGAAGGAGATGGGGCAGGGCTTGGCACCTCCATGCTCCAGGTGGGGTTTCTGCACCCCAGGGTCAGACACCCGGTGTGACGCCTCAGTTATCTGTAGGCATCCTCCATGTACCTGGCCAGTGGCCACTGGTCTCTGAGCCTTTGGGCTGGCGGTCCAGGGGCTGAGAGAATCCAGGGGCCCTGACTTCAGGTAGGGCTTGAAGCAGTGGGCAGGCCAGGATGAAGGCACGTGGATGTGCCCTGGGCGGGTGGGGTCCCCGGAAGGGGTGAGTGCGTAGAGGCCTGGCAGAGGTGCTTTGTGGAAAAGGCTCAGGTCAAGAGGACGAGCAGCCCCTGCCTCTGGGCCATGATCTGGAGGGTACTGGGGAGCCACGGAGGGTTCTGGACAGCAGGCGGTCAGCTCAGACTGCATTTTAGGGACAAGGGGAGGCAGGCTTAGGAGGGGGAGAGGAGACCAGCGCAGTTCCTCGCCCTGGTAGCTGGACGGCAGCTGGACGAGCCAGAGCTAAGCTCGCACAGCTCCGTGGCCGGGCCCATGGCTTCCTTCTGGGGCCCCGGCCGCTTCCCGGCCCGTCCCAGGTGACGTGGCCCTGCGCTTGCCTGAGGTCTCGAGGCCAGGGGTGTGATTGAGCGAGCAGGGGGAGGCCATGCCGGCCTGGCAGGGCACACTCTCCTTGGCGCCGGTCTCCTTCACACACCGGCGGAAATGGGGCCTGGAAACCCCGCAGACGGCGACTTCCATCAAAGCCCAGGCTGTGGCCGCCGGCGGAAATGGGCTTCAGGAAGGGTCCGGGGGAGATAAGGGGCCGGAGGGCGGAGGAAGCAGCTGGGTGAGGTCAGTCTGGGCGTGGCCCCACCGGGGGTAGGACAGCTGGGAGGGGGTCAGACGCCCCTCTGCTCCTTGCCCCAGTATCCCGGGAGCTCTTCCACCCCGCTGGCCTCGGCTGGCCTCAGCTAGCCTCAGCAGGACCCAGGTCCCCCTTATCCCCTGGACTTCGCAGACACCCCGTGGCTCCCCTCTTCCGTGTACACTGTTCTGGGCCCTTCCCCTCTGGAGTCCAGGCCAGCCTGTCCGTCACCTTGTTCTCAAGGCCGGCAGTCACCATGGCTACCCACTGCTGACCTCCGCTGGCCCAATCTGCGCCCCTGCCTTCTGCCTGGCCCATCCCCCTCCCTGGGGCCAGCAACCCACTCCTGGCCGCCATCCAGGAAGGAAGGGGAGTCCTTGAGGCACCCCCCCCAGCCTATGAGCCCTGGTCCTGGGGATCTCACCTCCCACCTGCGCTCTGAGCCCCGGCCTGGAGTGGGTACCCCACCCTACAAGTGCTCACAGACGCAGGCTGCATGGCCGGAGCCCTGGGCATGGACAGGCTCTTCCCGGTGGGGCGAGGACTGGCTTGGCCCAGCCTGGGCAGAGTGGCAGGGCCCACGGGAGAGCAGGGGCCACCTGTCAACCGCCCACGTTCTCACCGCGTGGCTGCTGGGGACCTGGCCACCACTCGAGGGCTTGACGAGCTGCGGCCAGGCGTCAGCTGGGCTCTGCGTCCTCTTGCAGCTCCTCCTGGCCGTGCCTGTGGGCTGTCTCCTGGCTGGCTCTCGGCTTCTTAGAGGCCCTCCACACCCTGGCCTGTGACCCTCTGGCATCAGCGAGGCAGCTTGCTTTGTCTTCAAGTGTCTCCCTGAGTTTTCCCGTCGCTGATCTCTTAAACTCTCCTGATTAGGTCACACCCACCCAGGATCATCCCCCTTTGGATGAACGTAAATTCCCCTCATTAGGTCTCTTAATTACATCTGCGGAATTCCTCATCACCTGACCTAATGTAACCAGTTGCAAGTCACAAGCCTGGTCACAGCCTCGTCACATCCAGCATGTTCCCAGGTCTCCCCCACACTCGAGGGGATACTGCATGGGGATCTGGGGGCCCTGGAACCTCCTGGAACCCTGCCTGCCAGGGGGCTGGAAGGGTGGAGGAGAGGACTGTGGAAGGGCCAGGGGTGGCCGGTGGGGCCTGTGTGGACCCCTCAGCACATGCTGTCTCGACCTGCAGGTCTGGCGTGGGACTGACCAGCTCCAGCCAGACTATGTTCTATGCGGAGGTGACGGATGCCCAACGGGGAGGCCCGGGCGGGGGCCTGGCTGAGGAGGGAGAGCTCATCGAGGTGGTGCATCTGCCCCTGGACGGCGCCCGGGCCTTTGCGGACAACCCGGATGTTCCCAAGACCCTCGGCGTGATCTTTGGTATCTCGTGGTTCTTCAGCTGCGTGGCCCCTGGCCTGGGTCCCCAGTGAGAGTCCCGCAGACCCAATAAAGGCTGGCATCACCGACTCTGAGCTGTGACCGGGCTGGGCTGGGGGCAGGGCAGGGCAAGGCCTCCATGAAAGCCCCTCCGCTTCCCCTGAGCAGAGGCGCCTGCTGCAGGCTGTGCTGGGGGGGCTGTTGGGAACTGACCGCTGGCAGAGGGCTAGGCCAGGCCTGGGCAGCACCACTGGCTGGCGGGGGGGAGGCAGGAAGATGGTGTCGGGTCAGGCCATCCCTGGGGGCGGTGGCTGAGCCAGTCACGGCAGGAGAGGGCATGGACAGGCTCAGAGGCACATGCTCCCTGCTCCTGGGTCCTCCCTGCCCGGGGCTGGGCCAATGCCCCCCTCAGTAGCCCTGTGGCCCTGGACACTGGTGATGAGTCTCGCTTCACCTGCTGACCTGTGTGCAGACTGGCCTGCAAGCCCCACAAAACCCCCACCCGGGGGGTCGAGGATGACGTGAGCTGCCCTCTGCAAACCCTTGAGCATGTGGGGTCGCAGGAGGGCTGGACGTCTGCTCCGCCAGGCACCCAGCAGGACCTCCAGCGTGCGCTGGAGTTCTCTGAGAGGAGGGTGCGGGTCATCGTGGGCGTGGACGTCTGTGGGCGCGGTGGGGCCGTCAGTTGGGGATGAGGACCGGGGAGGTTTCTTGGAGGGAAGGCTGGCTTGCCCCTCTATGAGGGTGGTGGCCTGGCCTAGCCCTTTCCCAGAGGCCCCCAAATCCTCTGGTCAGCCCCTAGGGTGATGCCCTAGGACAGGATGGGGGCAGTCTGGGTTGTGGTCCACTGACCCTGCAGAGGGCAGAGTGTCCAGGAGATCCTGCTGGACAGACAGGTCGGGACTGGGGGCCCGGGCGACCAGGAGCTTCTGCTGTTGACCTTCGTGCCCTGGGCCCTGGCTGGAATGGGAGAGGATGCTGAGCGAGGACACGCTGCCTCTGGCTTCTGCTGAGACCCTGCTGTCAGGAGGGGACAGCTGCCCAGGCTGAGGTGCCTCTGCCCTCTGCCCCAGGCCGGCGGGCACTTTCCTTCCTGCTGGCCTGGGGGTCGTGTGTGGCTGAGCCATTCCAGCAGTGGCTCAGAGCCCGTGGCCCCCAAGTCTGGCCTCGGGGCTGGCCTAGGCTGGCTGCACCAGGAGGCCCACGCAGGTAGCACCACCTGTATGCAAATGACGGCTGTGACCCAGGTGGGGTCTTCCTGGAGCCCAGCCCAGCAGTGGGATGCTGTGGGGGGGGGTGGGGTGGTGCTTGGGCCTGGGTGTGGGGCCGGCAGGGTGGTGCTGTGCTGGGGTCCCGAGCGCCGGCTCCGCCCTGTCAGAGGGGCCCTGAGGGCGGCCCTGGGCCGGGACATCTGGAGAGTCTGGGGCAGGGGCTCTGCCCACCCTGGGGCTGCCCCACCCCGCCTGCACCTTCCAGCCGCCGCTGCCCACCTCCTGATCTCCGCTGCCTGCACGCTCAGAGGGGCCTTGCTGGGCCCCGGTGGGGCTGGGGGCCCTCTGCCCTGGGGAGTGTGCGGGCTTTGGCCTGGCAGGACAGGGTCCTGGTCTTGGGTGCGGTCCAGCCCCGCACTCTGCTCGGCAGCCCGTTGGGGCAGGTCAGCAGGCACCGCCGGGCCTAATGGAGCTGGCATCGATTTCCCGGCAGTGGCGTGGGGGGGGGGCTGTAACCGGAAACTCCCCTCCCTGGCCGCTATATTTAGCACCGCAAAACACAGGCGGAAGTACCTCACTCAGCCGCACCGGCTCTGTCCACATGCCCGGCAGCCGGTGCCCAGCAGCCGGTGCCCAGCTGGTCTTGAGCAGCCCAACCGGCTGAGCCGTGCCCCCTCCTCGGGTGCCTTGTCTGGCGCAGAGTGACGCCCACCCCAGGGTCTACCTGGAGGGCCCCTGGGGCAGGGGGCGGGTACAGCTGGGACACTGAGCGGAGTGTGACCCAGGGAGCCCCAAACTATGCTGCGGTCTTCCTGGAAGAGGCAGGAGCCTGGCTGTCTCTGGGTCTCAGCCCTCTGGCTCCCCCCACATAGGAGGGGACCTCTGTAGGAGGATCGCCTGCCCCACAGCCCCAGTCCCGGCTCCTTCCCTCAAGCAGCCAGCATCCTGCCTTCAACCTCTCCTGGGTCAATTATGTCTAGGCTGTGGCTCCTGGGAGGCAGGGGGTGGGGGGAAGGGGACCATGAGGGGCATCTGTGGCCTGCAGGGGACACCCTGCGCAGGGAGGCAGGGAGCCCACTTTGCTCCCAAAGGGCTTGGATGGAAGCAGAGGGGGCCAGATGGGTGCGGTCTCCCTCGGCCCCGGGGTGGCCCCTCCCCCAGCAGGTTGAGCTGGAATCTGGAGGTGGGCTGAGCATCCCTCACTGCCACCTTCGCCTTGGAGCAAAGACAGCCTCGAGCAGGGCAGGGCCTCCGCCCAGAGCAGCAGCTCCTGGGACCCACAGCCTGGCCGCCAGGGTCAGCCATGGCACCCTGTGGCACATCCCGGCTGTCCGCCTCTCCTGCTGCTGGCTACCGGCAGGAAGCTTCGAGGTGGACAAGGGAGGGGCATAGAGTGCAGGGGGTGGGGGTGCTGTTCTCCGGATTCCACCTCTCACTCGTGCCGGAATTGCCCGCTCGGCCCCTCCATGGCCAGGACCCGGCCAGGCCTCCGGCTCCTCTCGTTTGCATTTGGCCTCCCTGTCTGACCTCACCCCGTGCTGCCCTTCCCCCCTATAGCCAGGGATCTCTGTGACAATGTAAGTCACAAATGTGCAGCCCAACCCAGCTCAGCTGCTTTCTGTGACTTCCCGTCAGTCTTTGCAGGAAGGCTGGCCAGGCCAGCCCAGCACAGCCGGCGCTCGCCACCCCTTCCAGCCTCCCCAGACCCCTCACCTGCTCTGCCGGGGACACGAGTCCTCCTCCTCAGCCCCAGGGCCTTTGCACGTGCTGTTTGCAGCAGCTTTACCTGGCCGACCCTGGCTTGCCCACTGGGTCTGAGCAGGCCTCCTGGGCAGGGTACCCCCACGGGCCTCACTCAGTACAGTTTGCTGTTCCGTGTTACTAAGTTCTCTGCCCACTCCATCACCCCCACTGGGAACCACTTATGGGTGGGTGGGCGGGCAGGGCTGTGTCCACCTTGCTTGAGTGAGTGCTCGAGGGCAGTGGGTGGTAAGGCAGCGGGCAAGGGCCAGGATGGAGCTCTGCCCCCGGAATGGTACAGGGGGCCGCTTGTCCCTGTTGGGGCCTGCAGGACTTCATCCCTGCCCCTGGACCAGAGCGGAGTTGGGGGCCTCTCTCCGTGAACCCCCTGCCCCCACAGGCCGTAACCGCTACCCAGGAAGCAACTGGAAGACTGTGAACAGCGCTCACATCCCCTCATTTGGTGGAGGTCGCCATGCGTGGCGGGTCCTGGCTTGTGTCCTGCCCCCTCCCAGCCTAGAGCAGGGCTCAGGTGTTTGGAGGGAGCAGTCAGGCCCAGCTCTTTAGGCTCCTGGGGGCTGGACCCCCTGGCTGGGCAGTGAAACCAGGGCCGTGGGCAAATTTGCAGGAGGAGCCAGGGATGGAAGAAAGCCCAGCTGCTACCCGGGGTTGGGCGGGAAAACCCCTTTGGACCAAAGCGGTATCCCTAACGACCAAGGCGATCTCCAGCCTTGGAAGGGACCCTGTTTGGCAGAGAGGAGGCGGTGTTTGGAGACCCGGAGCCTTGGCATGACTCCGTGGAGGTGAGGCGAGGTTACTCCAGCAGAGGGCAATAAGGCGATGACAGGGGTGGGATAAGAGGGCCTGGAGACCAGGACAGCAGCCGCAGCCTCTCTGGACGGCCCTCACTTTGTCCTTTGGGGTGTGCACCACCGTCCTTTATTTGCACCCTCCTCATCTGCGCCCAAACCACGACCCCCATCCCGGACGTTGCTGGAAAGTACGGCCTGGCGACCCCCGACACCAGAGTAGAGCTAGACATGGGCCGTTAGTTCCGTGGCTTCCGACCTGCGGGCAGTGGGGCTGGGGCGGTGGGGGCGGGGGTGCGGGCGTCCGAGGGGAGCAGCGCCCCCTGCGGCGGGAGTGGCGGGGGGAGGTATTCCCGGGGGCGGGGGCGCGTAGTAGGGCCGCGCCCGCCCCAAGTAGGGTAGAGCCCTGATTTGTGCAGAAGGCAGCCTCTCCCCTGGGATCCGAGGAGCGCGGCGGCGGCGCACCGGTGGGAGGGGACCGCGGCGGTGACCTCAGGGGGCGCCCCACCCCCTGGCTCCGGAGACCCGGCGGGGCTCCGGCGAGGTGCGGCCGCGTTGCGGCGCCGGGTCCCGCTCTCCTGGCTCCGACCGAGGCGCTAGCGGAGCCCCCGCCGCCCGGCAGCCGGCCGCCGAGCGAGGCGCGCGCCGGGCCAGGGCGCTGACAGGAGGCGCCCTCCGCCGCCTTTAAATCCCGGGCGCCCCCGGCCCCCCCCGCCCCACCCCGGGGAGCGGCCCCGCCCCCTCATGCATATGCAGGTACGCGGGTGACGAATGGGCGAGCGAGCTGTCAGTCTCGGCCCGAACTTGTCGGCTGCGGGCGAGCGCAGCGCGGGCGCGCAGAGCCGAGGCCCGGAGCGCCGCTGCCG